AATATTAACCGAGGTATCTCGCCTTGAAAAACTCGATTTATGATGTCATTAACAGCGGTAGGACGTATCATGTTTTGCAATACCTACCGCAGTGAATTGAATGAAACACACGGGAATCGATTGTTGAAATCCTTATCAGCATGCCCAGGCGTAGGGGAACAAGGTCTTCCAGGCGGAAAGCTCACACATTCCTTATCTTGTCCTGGCATGCCAACAGAGTTTCAAGAACCGGTCTGCATTCATTGATTGACTAGATGAGAAAAGAGGAAATAAAGAGATACATCTTGGTCCACAGCAGTCTCCAAGACAAATCCAGCAACAGACAAGACGTGTTCCGTGACAGGAGTCTGATGACAATTCTGTTATACCATCTTAAGTTATGGCAACTTCACTCCGTTCTCATAGAGGAATCAGTACATAGTGTAAGCTTCCGCGATTTAGTTGAAAGAGAGGCAAATGAAAGGAATACAAGAACAAGAAAAACGACTGACTCATACCTATAGAGATCCACTCCGAACTTCGGTTTCTCCGCACTTCCCATGGCTTCTTCTTGATTTTCGTTGACCCTGGGGTTAAATCATCGTCTCGAATTGGTGAAATACTTCTAAATGAGCAAAGAAGATGACAGTTTCAACGGCTAATAAGTAAATAAATTAATATTAATTGAGCGATCCAGAATTCTGGCACCGGCACCGGCGTGATAGAGCGGGCAAGGGCATGGCCGTGGCTTGTCTTGTCTCTGGGCATGCATGGCCGCCATGTTGAATCCAACAGCTGGACAAATATCGAATATCGTATCGAATGCGATTATTCGAGTATCGCACTATCGATTCTTTACCATAGCTTCTTACGGGGACACAGCTATAGTCGATCGTTCAGGAAGTGTGGCAATAAATCCGCCTCAACCACTGGACTCGTTCTTCTCGCACCGGCTCACTGAGGAGAGAAGCCGCGGCTAGAATTCTTACGATCAGCGACCTTTCTCCTCATTTTACTTTAAAACTTTCAATCTTAGAGGAAAATGTCACGGGACCCATAATAACGTCCGTCAAATTTCCTATCGGTTCATTACACAAAATTTTCGATAAAATCATTTTCGTGACCAAAAATAAGGGTTTTAAAAAGGGCGCTGGCAAAAATTCCTATGATCAGCGACCTTTCTCCTCATTTTACTTTTAAACTTTCAATCTTAGAGGAAAATGTCATATGACCCGAAATAACGGCCGTAAAATTTCCTATCGGTTCGTTGCACAAAATTTTCGAAAAAATAATTTTCGTGACCAAAAATAAGGGTTTTAAAAAGGGCGCTGGCAAAAATTCTTATGATCAGCGACCTTTCTCCTCATTTTACTTTAAAACTTTCAATCTTAGAGGAAAATGTCACAGGACCCATAATAACGTCCGTCAAATTTCCTATCGATTCATTACACAACATTTTCGATAAAATCATTTTCGTGACCAAAAATAAGGGTTTTAAAAAGGGCGCTGGCAAAAATTCCTATGATCAGCGACCTTCCTCCTCATTTTACTTTTAAACTTTCAATCTTAGAGGAAAATATCGAAATACTCTTTTCAAATGCGATTTCTCGATTATCGCATTATCGATTCATTACCATAGCTTCTAACGGGGACGTAGCGATATTCGATCATTCACGAAACTTGGCGAGAAATCCGGCGCCTCCGCACCTGGACTCCGTTTTGCCGGCTCATATCACGGTGGAGCGAAATCCTATTAGAATCCCCGGCCCGGTCATCGCCTTACTTCCTAACTTGTTGCGGCTATTATTCCACTCGCGTGCCTGGGGATTTCGTGCTGGACTAAATGATTCCCGGGTTATTTTGAGCGTAGAATTCATTTTTGACCTTACTTTTTTCATTAAAATGACGCAAATACACAATTTTACGCGTTTTTACAAACTTTCCGTAGAAACATAAAAATATAAGTTACTCAAAGATAAATTTTACTCGTTCTTGTGGGCATTTCGTGTTGAAACTCGGTATCCTGGAGGACTTTTGATTTTTGACCTTATTTTTATTGACACAAACAAACAAAAAATTGGCTGAGAAGTGAAAAGAAGGCTGTACGAATAAACATGGAAAATTTTCCCTCCAAAACATTAGTTATTTATGAGAGCCAGACCCAGTGTGCATTGAAGTACCATGTAGACCGTGAATTCATTAAATAATAACAAATATCTCATTCATTAGGGATGGCCATTGATTGATAGTTGGAATAATACCTACACAAAAATGGTGAACCGGGGCTCAGAATGAAACTCGGCCATTGCGCCTTTGAATGCTTTGTTTACCTCCTATTAATCCCTGCATGGTCATATGGCAGCATTCAAACTTAAAATTTTAAAGGAAACGATCAAAAATTAAAATCAAAGTACTCACACTTTACAATTAAGATTCCTAATCAGCTATCTCTTAATTGCGTCCATTACTTATTAAGAATTTTATCGATCGATTTAAGCACAGGAACAAAAACACATGAAGACTCAGCACTCCTCACATTATCAAACAAAGCAAGTATATAAGCAGTAAGCTTCCATCATTTAAAAGAAATAGTGACATTACTCAAGAGCTTACATCCCAAAAAGCACTTGTATAATTAAACTTAAAATTGCTGAGGTAAATGATTACGATCGGAGAGGCATTTATGATAACTGAAGTTGATTTATAGTTGAAAAGTCCTTAAACCATTATTACCGGTTACAGCAGCCATATAGGAAGTAATGAACGTTGCCGTCTTGAAGATAATGAAGATGAAGATATCCCAAATCCTTTTCAATAGTTCTTGAGCTAGTAGTGATGGCGATTATTGGATCGATCTTCCAAAAGATCGATAGGATCGAAGAATCGATTCTTTCACGGCGATCTTCCGCGGGGCTCCGCTGCTTTCGATGTATCGATTGAGTGGAGTGAAAAAACGTCTCTAGGCGTAGAACCATCTCGTCTATGAAGGGCCGTTTGTAACTAAAGATACGAATGTTAGCAATACATAAGAAATGATGTAACATATGAAATATTCAAAATATATATGAAATTTTGAAATATATATACGAAACTGTCGCAATTTATAAGAAATGTGTCAATATTTAGGAAATCGACTCCAAACTACCTATGGCAAAAATCGTGCAATATATAAGAAATGTGTCAATATATAAGAAATCGACTTCACAGTATATATGGCGAAATTCGTGCGATATACAGGGTGATCCATAAGTCATTTCCATCCCCTCTAAATTTTTACCTAATTGAGGCAAAGATTTGAAGCTTGGGGGATATTCTTAGGTCAAAGGGAGCTACTTTCTGGCCCCCTAAAATTTTCCGAGGAATCCTTGGGGGGGAGGGGGGATGGAAACCAATTATTTTTTCAATTGAGAAGACCCCTTTTGTTGTACCTTGTTCGAAAGAGCATCAAAAAAGGAAACTTTTCGGGTGAACCAGAAGTCAATATCTCAAACCGTTTCAAAATGGCGTTCGGTTAAAATTCAAGATGGCCGAAAATTGACACCGATTGTTTGTCAATGGATTTGCGCGAAAATCGGTATCTACGGGTATATTGATAGGAGAAAAATGAATTTGAAGTTAGATTTTCTAAAAAAACAACAAATTTCCAAAATGGCCGAAGAAACTTGGGAGTTAGGGGTATTTTGGCATGAGATTAAAAAATTTGAAGTTAGATTTCTAAAGAAAAAAATTCCAAAAAGGCCGATTTTTTTTTTTTTTTTTTTTTTTTTTTTTAGAAATCTAACTTCAAATTCGTTTTACTCCTGACAAAACACCCGTAGATAGGTACCGATTTTCGAGCAAATCCATTGACAAACAATCGGTGTCAATTTTCGGCCATCTTGAATTTTAACCGAACGCCATTTTGAAACGGTTTGAGATATTGACTTCTGGTTCACCCGAAAAGTTTCCTTTTTTGATGCTCTTTCGAACAAGGTACAAAAAAAGGGTCTTCTCAATTGAAAAAATAATTGGTTTTCATCCCCCCTCCCCCCTAAGGGTTCCCCGGAAAATTTTAGGGGGCCAGAAAGTAGCTCCCTTTAACCTAAGAACATCCCCCAGGTTTCAAATCTTTGCCTCAATTAGGTAAAGATTTGGAGGGGATGGAAAGGACTTATGGATTACCCTGTATATCGCACGAATTTCGCCATATATATTGTGAAGTTGATTTCTTATATATTGCACGATTTTCGCCACATATTTTGGAGTCGATTTCCTAAATATTGACATATTTCTTGTATATTGCGACAATTTTGTATATATATTTCAAAATTTCATATATATCTTGAATATTTCATATATTACACCATTTCTTATATATTGCCAACATTCGTATCTTTAGTTACAAACGGCCCTTCATACTGGCTCCCTATCTTGAGATAGAGAGTTTGTCTTGGTGTAGAGGTGGACTCCCAGGATATCGTGGGATATCCCTTACATTACGCCCTCAACTTTGAGAGCGTTTTTTGAGTTGGGAGTTGATTTCAGAGAAAACCAGGGGCACCATCGTGTTTCTCGCGAACTTTTACGTAAGAATCAGTAGTCAAATCGCGAATTCCTCACACATGCAACATCTCCATTATTAATCTGACAACGCGACATCGCCGCTGTTTTACCCCAAAATACGATTAATACGTCGCGTCGCCCGGCTGACGTAAAGATGTAACTACACATCGAGAGAGCCTGAAAAAACATTGAATCGTAGGGACGACAGGGCTTATTGCAGAGTGTTGTTACGCCTTTATATCATGAAGGCGACGAATAGACGCACCCTTCAAGACTTTACGAGGTTCTTGACCCCGCGGTTCGCACGCCTACGCTTGCGTGGCTCAATCCCTTGTTTTTGACTCAAGTCAGTTCAGATCCTTCTTTGTTGCTTCACGCTGTGTTCGTCTCAGTGCTGTAAAACTGAATGAGCTCTTCGGAATTAAAGCATATCTTATTAATATCATACCCTTCATTTCTTCAAATATTTGACTCACATTATTTTTTACAAGAGCATGCGAAAATTAAACTTTTCTCATGCCTGATCAGTGATCATTGCAAAACGGAAAACTGACTTTCAGTTTAACGAACGGAAATTGCATTACACCGAATTTTTTACATTCATAGCATATAAAATAAATTACATGCGAATCGAAGTTCTCCAGTTTCTAGAACGGAGCCTTCAATGGATTCGGTGCAAACTTCAGCTAGGGCAGAAAGAAGAGTTGTTTCCTACAGAAAATGGCTTAAAAATCACGTAAGCGTATCGGTAAAGTCTGAAATATACTCGCCTAACTTCACAATCTGTGTAAAAAATATGCGTTTTTTAAAGCTTCTTGCTTCGAAAACGATACTATACGGCACAGGGGAACAATTCGCAAGTGGAACGCACAAGGATGTAATGCAATATTCACCTCGCCTGGAACGTCGCGGCGCAGAGAGCAATGATGACGAGAACTTGAGATGAACAGGAGAAACCCTCGGCGCGGCGGTCGGCATGTAACACATATCAGCGCCTACAAGACTGCATGAATACTTCACGCATTGCGTCAAACAGAGTGCGGTCAGCGTGAAACGCATAGCGCCTACAAGACTGCATGAATACTTCACGCATTGCGTCTAACACAGTGCGATCAACAGCAGTCGGCGTGAAACGCAAAGCGCCTACAGGACTGTGCGAATCCTTTACGAATTGCGCCAAACCCATTGCGGTCAGCACGGCGCAGTGGCGGAAGTTAAAATTATTAAATCACATTTATGTTTGTTCTTTCATAATTTTTTCGTTCATTTCTTCAAATGGAAGGCCTCGTCCACACAGAGATAGGTATATACGGAACTTAACTTTTGCGCAAAGTTTTGTGAACTTTTGCTAGTAGTGTTGACAGGGTTTTCGCAAATAATGTGTCCAACAAGAATGAACGCGTCTGATGCACCCCTCTCCCTTCGGCACGTTCATTTAATGGTTTTTATTGATGTTTCAAAACGAATGATAAGGGGGCGGCAAAATGCAGGTGGCCCTTGGGCGGCAAGTTGGTAAATCCGGCCCTGGCCGAGGTATCGTTTTCGAAGTGGGAAGCTTAGAAAACGCATATTTTTACGAAAATTGTGAAGTTAGGAGAGTATTTGAGACTTTCCCGATGCACTAATCGTGATTTTTACGGCATTCATTCTAAGAAACAACTCGTCTTTTTGCTCTTGCTGAAGTTTGCAACAGGCTCATTCATCGAACTGAATTTATCTCTGTCGATTGAAGCGATCAGAGAGAGCGACATTAGTACACAAGGGTTGGATGGGATGACTCCTCTTGCGGAATGTTAACCTCTTTTGTAGTATCGTTTTTGAAGCGAGAAGCTTAGAAAAACGCAGCTTTCTTACGCAGATTGTGAAGTTAGGCGAGTATATTTCAGGCTTTACTCATGCGCTCATCGTGATTTTCGAGCAATTTTTTATAAGCAGCAACTTTTCTTTTTTCTCTAGCTGAAGTTTGCAACAAGCTCATTCATCGAACTGAATGGACCTCTATCGATTGAAGCGATCCGTCCTCTGGATCAAAAATCAAATACCAAACTGTTGGGTTCGTATGATCAAGGTTGTTTTTTTTTTCTCGTCGCAAAAACTGGCCTCATTGACTCCGGATCATCGAACCCGGGCCATGCTCAGAAAAATTCGCCTAAAATCTTGGCTCCCGCAACGATAAACCTCAAGAATTCGGCGATCCCAGCTCCCCCTGCTAAGGAAAAACGCCGTATCAGCCTCCAGACGTTGCCAAGTCTCCTTCGATAAAAACTTAATTTATTAGGAAAATTCTGAATATTTTTCCAAAATTTTGAGACAATTTTGCACGCAGTTTAATCAAAAATATCTGAAAATTTCAAGAAAAAATATACAGGAATGTCGTCAGAAATACATGTTTTGTCGAGGGAAATGTGGCAACTCTCGAATGTTCATACGGCGTTCTTTCTTAGCGCGGCAGAGCTCACCGGACCCGCCAAGGCGCCCAGTGGGTCGAGTCAATCAGAGAGGTCGGACATGGAATTTTTTACTTAAACTGCAAATTTTGGTTTTGATTTCGTCACATTTTACATTTCAAGGAGTGCTTTCGGAAGAAAATTCCACGAGGAAACCAACAAAACCACTTTTAGAACCTCAAAAGTTTGTATTAACGGAGTTAAATGCGTTCAAAGTTTCCAAATTTTGTTCGACCTCTCCTATGGACCCGATCCACTGCGCGGCGGCCTACGGAGGTGTCGCCGCGACCGACCAGTTCCGACTCGCTTCGGATCCGGAATTTTTGGAAAACGTTCTCCTCGGAACCGGATGAATTTTTGAGCCCCCCTTCCCCCGGAGGGAGACCGGCCGGGCGGACAAGACTCCGGCCAAAAAAAAGAAAGAAATCACGACAATTTTAAAAACCCGTCCCAATTAAACGCCCGGCATCGGCATACCGAACGCTAACCACCGGTTCTCATGAGCCTTCGATCGCGTGAGAAGACACGGCGACGAAAGCTCACGAAGTTAACGGAGTCGGGCGGGTTTAGCGCGATGCTGTTCGGATCGACGTCGCAGACGCAGGCGCTGGATGCGTCGCGCAGCGCGGGGGTGACAAGGGGGGCCGAGGGGGGGCGCAGGGGGGGATTTAGGTTATTGACCCTGACCCAGATTCGCATGTGCAAGGCCGCTCGCCGACTCAACAGTATCCTGCTTGGGTCTGGATCTCCTGTCCCGGCCGGTCGGCGAGACCAACGAACTTGCCATTTACCACTTTCTCTCCTGATTCCGACTCCTTTCTCTCCCCTCTCTCGTCCCGTCCTTCTCTCTCCTCCGTCTCCGGCCGGCCCCGGCACTTTTCTAAGGCCCCCCTCTGCCCCCCGCGCCGCGGCGGTGTTTGCGGAAAATATGCTGCAGTTAGAAATCCCACGCCGGAATGGTGCGCGAGCTTGCCGACGGAGAAAAACTTCCCTTCGGTTCAACGCACTGAGGAAAAAGTATGGTTCGAATAACCATACAAGGATAAAGCATAATGACATAGCCTAGAGTCCATTTCTACTGAGAGTCAAAACAATATGAATCCATTTCTGATTGGTTACCGTATTTTAGCCCATATGTGCCCAAAACTATTTTTTTTTAATTGATTTTTTACTAACGATACTTTTATTTAGCGAAGATTTTGAGATGGCGTAGGGGGCGTAAGCACGGTGGCAAAATGTCATGAAAAATAAAATCTTGAAATTTCACGTGAAATATTTCATGAAATTTAAGAAATTTATGAAAGATATTGAAAAATACCGGTTCCTTCTCAAGTGTTACAAAATGTAGATATTGAGGTTTTCTTCTATTTTTGTGTGTTTAAGTGTCGGTTGCATACTCTAGCCCTTGGAAAATATGAAATATTTCACAGCCTCGTGAAATTTAATGGAATATTTCACCGAAACCAACGAACCAACCCTCTCATCTCTTTCTTACGTTTCATGCCGCCCTGGGCGCAGGCCTTCCCGTTCGCTGAAAAAAAGAGGAAGAAAAAGTGGAGAGAGAGGAGGGGGTCGGAGGTAAGGAGAAGGGAGGACGCTTAGATTTGGTAATTATTCACGACGAAATCGACTCACACTGCTTATAAGATGCTTTAAAATTTCGAAAATTTTCTTGGGGGAGCCCCCCTAACGCCCCCGGTTGAAGTGTCTGGATCCGTCTTTGTTGCAAAATGCACCCTAAACAGACGATGCAACTAACACGGTCCATAATCGACAGTCCCTTTTGATGGTTTCAGTGCATTTTTTCTTCATAATATTGAAAATAAGTGGCTGTTGGGGTGCGCCTGCTTCAGCTCATATTTCCAGAGGAAGGGCAATGAACTAGGTCTTCAGTCTCCAAGGCTCCTTTCCCTCATTGCCACTCTAAACGGAGAAACATCGCATTCACAACCGCATGTTGCGAAGATTGCAATATTTTCGCCAAAATCAATTAACGTGTGCTCTCTTCTCGAGTTTTGAGCATATCGTGTATGTGTTTCTTTCGTTGCTCGTGTTCTCAGCTTTCGTTGTTAGTTGAACCACGTTTAGCAGGAAGGACACATCATCCATTGCCAAATATGACTGGGCAATTCACTGAAAAAAAATTCCCGGCGTTTTTACNATCTTTCATGAAATTTCTTAACTCTGCCCTGGACCTTGGATTCAGAAGTTTCTCTGAAGCAAGAGGAGCCCTTTTCGATTACGTTTCAATCAAAATGCAATCCTCACTCAGATTATTTGGAAAAAATCACCCTGCGATGCCCTACGCGGCATTTATAAATATGATCAAGACATTAAAATATATTCACCGCGTGGGCGCGACCTGTGAATGTTCTGTTCACGGGGCGAGTGCCTTACCACCGAGCTACGCCGGTTGGTAGTGAGATGGCGAATTTGCTAGTACATAAGGTAAATAAAGTTCTTTCTTTCTCCACTAGAGCTGAGAGTAGAGACGCATCGGTGAAACGCTCTTGCTTACTGATGATCTGCGGCAGGATTTTTGTCATCCCTAACCTTCTAAGCCAAGAAGGAATCTCTGCTAAACTCAAACGCCATGATTGCGTAATTTTGAAAATAACTGACCGCGGCGTCCGGGCATGTCCGGGTCCAGAGGATTTGAACTTGGAAGCAGTAGTTCTTCGTTGACACCTTCATTTCATCTTCCTCATCCCATCATGTATCACTATCGGCATCGTTCCGATCCTCATTCTGTTAGCTTCTGAAGAGACGATTTCTTGAACTTCTAGGATATCTTTCTTCCCCCTCATTCATATCATGAGGTAAGATGGGCCATGTGCCTTCCTAACAATGTTTAGAGTTTTCTTCGGAAAATTCTGTGTTCAGGTTTTCAGTTTTTTCTATTCTGACAGGCTTAGTGGATAGTCTATTAATCCTAGCAAAGTACAATCAATTTTGTATAAGTACTTGAATTTTGTCCTCGATACCGTTTAAGGTTATTCGATGGATGCCATATTTTGTGTCAGAACGACATGCGATATATCGCATCAATTGGTTCCATTTTTTCAACTACTTATCATTTTTCTCCACTTTTGGGATCGCAAATCAGTTGTCAGGAGACTATAACACTCACTTACCAATTTTAACAAAGAAATTCAAGGTAATAAAAATTGTGGTTATTAAACCTATTAAATATATTTAAACCTATCTCGTTAGCGATGTCTTAAAATCTTGGCTCCTATTTTATTATCTTTGAGGCGCACAAATAAGCATCATTCTTAGAAGATTTCAAATGAATTTCCCTTGAACAGAGACCAAAAACATGGCAGTTTTTCCACACTGCCATTCAGTAAGTAGTTTTCCACTTGAAAAATCAAGAGTGGCAGGAAGTCTGCAACGTCTCAGTCAGAAATATGTGGTCTGGGAGTGCCTCTATCAAGTCTTAACTCGGAGAGAGTCCGGACTGAAAAGTTTTGTCCAAATCTGGTTTACGTAATGAACTGTGAGCAATTTTTTCTGAATGTCTCTGAAAAAATACTCCCATAGCTGATCTCACACTTTCCGACCACTAAGTTAACACAATTAAGTACCATTGATCATCTGTGTTCGAAGACAAATTAGGAGATTAAAATCATACCCCTGACCACTACTCAGTTGATTCCACGAGAAATAAGAGTCCCTACTGAGCATATCAATGAAAATTAGAAAAATCATATGAGAATCACACGGTATGAGAATGTATTAAAAATTCTTACCAATCTATTTTGCCCATAGGTAATTGGTTCAACTGATTGAATCATTCATTTTGCTGCACCTTTGACCATTAAAAATGCACACCTCACCTGCAGGTATCTGTGTCTAATATTTGAACACAAATTTGCCGTTCCTTTCATGATTCGTGCTGATTTTTGAGCTCGAGAAATATTTAGGCACTCTCCTGAAGAAAGCTTTTGTAATAGGTAGTACCTATAGAATGTCCTTTGCTCTTACATAAATTATTAAACTGCCCTCTTTATTTTTGATTTTTTAGCGGAGACGTCACAAAAGTTCTGCCTCCAAGATTCAATGGACAAACTACAGGATGTTTGCAGATGAATGTCAAGACAATCCGTTGGCTCTTTGATTCCCCTGGTCAAGTCGTCGTTGCAACATCCTGGTGGGGTGATGACTCCAAGTGTCTCTTTATGTAAGTTCTTCAACCTTTATTCAATTTTCAATATGAAAAAACATATGATACACAAGGTACTATGGCCCTACAAATGCTCGGTCAGGGAGCCCACAAATAGATACAACTGAATTCTGTGTTCATAAAAGTACTTTAGTGGCTGGCATTAAATAGACAGGCCCCGCAATGAGTGATACAGGCCAAGTTGTGTTAGTCAGTTTCAGGGGTCCAGGCAGTATAGTCTTTGTTTATACATGAATCAAGGTTACCTACTCCTATGAAAGTACTCTATCAGTGGAAAAGCTCAGTGCATACATCAGACCCTACTTTCACAAAGAAGTAGCATGCTCAACATTCTTCCTATCAAAAAAGTATCGCATTTGGTTAATTACCTCACCAAAACCAATTTGCTAGTAAGTCTCTTTCACCAAAATCAACGCTTCTTCCAGCTTTAAGAGCATTAAGAAATTAATTTAGAGAATAAATTTTAAAAAAAATTAAAACTCCTCGACTTCTTTCATCATAAATTTTTCGCCCTCAGATAGTTTCACAGAAAACTGGAAAGCACAGAATTGCGGTCCAACAATCAAGCATTTTCTGGACCCCAGGTCAGTGAGATAACCAGTCATTGGTTACAGAAGCATAAGGCAATGAAACCACCACAATTTCACAGCATAAGCTTACTATCCATGAAGCTAGTCTGAGGTGGTGAGGGATATGAGTTGCTGAATTTTTTTTCTTTCTTTTGGAAATTAGTTCAAATTGGAATTATTAGATAATGTCCGGATAAGGAATATGCGGAATTCGTCTGGGAATGAAAAATTTCAGCGGAAATGAGGAAAAAATCAGTGAATTTGTTTGAGAAACAGGACACTTCTAGTATGGACTAATTTCTTTCTTGAACTTCTTTTCAATATTTTTCACGTTATCTTTTAACTAAATTCATTTGCCGAACGTTTATGAAAGTATAATATTGTCCCAGCTAGTGGTAGGATACTAATAATAATAATAATAATGATAATGATAATGATAATGACAATGACAGTGACAGTGACACTGACAGTGACAATGACAATGACAATGACAATGACAATGACAATGACAGGGACAATGACAATGACAGTGACAGTGACAATGACAATGACAATGACAATGACAATGACGATAATAATACAATAAATTACTGAACGGGAAAGAATTCCCACCATGGCTGGCCAAAGGGACTACATATCTGATAGCAAAGAATAGAGAATCGGCTAATCGGGAATACTTATGGGAATCGCTCCTTCAAAATATGATCAAAATAAGCGGATATTGATAGGTCAACAATGTATCGCTGAAGCAGAAGCGTCTAAATCCTCTTGAGGCAACGGACGGTGACAATCTTAACAAACTGATGACGCTTCACAAATTTTAAATTTCCACATTCCCAGAGACACGCGCTGAAATCCTGTTTCTCACCCCTCTTTCCGACTGCTCTCCGAGTCCATGAGCAAGACAGGAAGAAAATAGGCAAGCTACCTACTACTGTTTGCCTACCTATGTGTTTTTTTTTCTTGAACTTGATTTTCAAAGGTGACTCGTGTAAAGAGCAACTGACAAACAAGATTTCAGAACCTGCCATTGCATTTCACTAACCTAAGACACAAACCCAACCTTACCATTGATATTCTTTCGCTTACACTGTATATTATTCTCCCATTGAGATTCGATATGAACACTGACAGTGACAATGACAATGACAGTGACAATGACAATGACAATGACAATGACAATGACAATGACAATGACAATGACAATGACAATAATAATACAATAAATTACTGAACGGGAAAGAATTCCCACCATGGCTGGCCAAAGGGACTACATATCTGATAGCAAAGAATAGAGAAACGGCAAATCCCAAAAACTATAGGCCCATAACCTGCCTCAACATAGCGTATAAGATCTTCACGGCACTTATGGCCGGAAAAACGTACAAATACCTAGAAAGTGCCAAACTACTCCCTATAGAGCAGAAAGGGTGCCGCAAAGGAGCTAAAGGGTGCCTTGACCAACTCTTAATATGCAAAACCATCATTGAGGACTGCAGGAAGAACAAGAAGAACCTATCGATCGCATGGCTGGACTACCAAAAAGCCTTCGACAGCATGCCTCACAGCTGGATCATCCGTGCACTGGAACACATGGGAGTGCACCCGAATATAGTAAACGCCTGTAAGAACATGATGGAGCACTGGTCAACATGCATCCAACTAAGAGGAAAAACAGAGACAATTATCACCTCTGGAATTAAAATAAGACAAGGAATCTACCAAGGGGACGCGTTCTCCCCCCTTCTGTTCTGCGTTGGATTAATACCCCTCTCTACACGACTAAACAACATGAACAATGGATATAACATCAAGACAGGCCATAAACAACTGACGCACCTCCTGTATATGGATGATCTGAAACTGTTCAGCAGTAGCGACGAGAAACTGCAAAATCAACTCGAGACGGTGAAAGAATTCAGTGACGACATAGGTATGAAATTTGGCCTAGATAAGTGTGCCAAGGTAACCTTCAAGAAAGGTAAATACATCCACGGAGAAAACATGGATATAGACGTCGACACCAGCATCCGACAGTTAGACCCAGGTGAAACATACAAATACCTCGGAATGGAAGAAAGTACAGGTATCCAACATAAGACAATAAAAGAATAGGTAATGAGAGAATACATACGACGAGTAAGAGCAGTACTAAAGACAGAGCTAACGGCAAAAAACAAGATAACTGCAATCGGAGCGCTAGCCGTACCCGCTCTACAGTACGGATTTGCAATTCTGAATTGGAAAATAAAAGAAATAAAAGCGCTAGACATAAAAACAAGAAAATGTCTGACAATGCATAAAATGCACCACCCATCCGCAGACGTTGACAGGCTATACGTGAGCAGAAAACTAGGAGGACGAGGACTTAGGCAAATAGAATCAACATACAAATCTTCCATCATCAATGCGAAGTACTACCTCCAGGAAAAAAAAAAACGAAGACCCTTTTCTCAAAGCCGTATATGCCGTCAACCTTGCTCTAGACAAAGACCACATTGCGAAAGAAGCAAACAAGTTTGAAGCCGAGCTCGGAGAAAACTTTGAAGTGGCCCCCATAAACAGCAGGAAGCAAAAAATCAAAAAGAAAATCTCAGAAAGCATCAGAACCAAATGGAAAGGAAAGATCATGCACGGACAGTATCCACTGATGCTAGGAAATGACTCTATCGAGAGTAATCTCTCTACCATCTGGCTCAGTAAAGGTGTAGTAAAAGCAGAAACAGAGAGCCTAATTGTAGCGGCACAGGATCAAGCCTTAAACACAAGGTACCGGGAGAGGAAAATCCACAAGAAACATGTGAATAGCAAATGCAGAATCTGCCACCAGTTCGAAGAAACCATTGAGCACATAACATCAGGTTGCCCAATTCTAGCCCAAAAGGACTATATCGAGAGACACGACAGAGTATGCACCCAACTTCACTACAGCCTCTGCAAAGAATATGGAATCGAAGTCGACGCAGATA